TTGGAGACCCGCCTGGGCAACTTGGCGAGACCTCATTTCTACAATAAATCAAAAAATCAGCCGGTTGTGGTAGCGCGTGCCTGTAATTCCGGCTACTCGGAAGGCTGAGGTGGAAGGATCATCAGAGCCCAGCAGGTCGAGGCTGCAGTGGCTGTGGGTGACAGAGTGAGACTTCAACTCAAAAAAAAAAAATTATCAGTGTGTGACCAAATTAGCAACACTAATTTCTGTATATGTTTTCTCAGACTTAAGTAAACAGAAATTAATGTTGACCGGGAGTGATGGCTCAACCTGTAATCCTAGCACTTTGGAAGGCCGAGGCAAGAGGATTGCCTGAGACCCGGGGGCTTGAGACCTGCCTGGGCAACTTGGTGAGGCCTCATGTCTACAATAAATCACAAAAACTAGCCGGGTGTGGTGGCATGCATCTGTACTTCCAACTACTTAGAAGACTGAGGCGGAAGGATCGCCTAAACCCCGCAGATAGCGGTGGTCTTGAGTGTGCCACAACACTCTAGCCTGGGCAACAGGAGTGAGACTCCAACTCAAAATAAAACAAATAGTTAATAAATTTAGTGTGGCCTAAGTGTATAGTGTTAATAAAGTCCACAGTAATGTACAATAATGTCCTAGGCCTTCACGTTCACTCACTGACTCTCAGAGAAACTTTTGGTCCTGCAAGCTCCATTCATGGTAAATGCCCTAGACAGATGCACCATTTAAATCTCATATTCTTGGAAGGCTGAGGCGGAAGGATCACCTAAGCCCAGCAGGTCGAGGCTGTGGTGACTGTGAGCATGCCACTGCACTCCAGCCAGAGTGACAAGAGTGAGACTCCAACTCAAAAATGTTTTTTTTGTTTTTTTTTTGCTTTTTTTTGAGTTGGAGTCTCACTCTGTCGCCCATACTGGAGTGCAGTGGCATGCTTCCAGTCACTGCAGCCTCGACTTGCTGGGCTCCGGCGATCCTTCCGCCTCCGCCTTGCAAGTAGCTGGAACTACAGGCGCGCGCTACCACGTCCGGCTGAATTTTTGATTTATTGTAGAGATGAGGTCTCTCCAAGTTGCCCAGGCAGGTCTCGAACCCGTGGGCTCAGAAATCCACTCACCTCAGCCTCCCAAAGTGCGAGATTACAGGCTGAGCCACGGAGCCCGGCTCAAAAAATGTTTTATATTGTATTTTTACTGTACCTTTCTATGTTTAGATATGTTTCTTTTTATATTTTACATAATTTTTTTTTCTTTTTTTTTTCCAAGTTGGGATCTCACTCTGTCACCCAGACTGGAGTACAGTGGCACGCTCTTGGCCACCGCAGCCTCGACCTGCTGGGCTCCGGTGATCCTTCCGCCTCAGCCTTCCAAGTAGCCTGAACTACAGGCGCTCGCTACCATGCCTGGCTAATGTTTTGATTTATGTAGAGATGAGATCTTGCCAAGTTGCCCAGGCAGGTCTCGAACCTGCGGGCTCAGGCAATCCACTCACCTCGGCCTCCCAAAGCGCGGGATTACAGGCTGAGCCACCGAGCCCAGTCTACATAAATATTTTTAAAATAAAATTTTTGGCTGTGCTCGGTGGCTTTGCCTGTAATCCCAGCACTTTAGAAGACTGAGGTGAGAGGATTACCAGAGCCCAAGGGTTTGAGACCCACTGGGGCAACTTGGTGAGACTTCGTCTCTGCAATAAATTTAAAAAAACCTAGCTAGGTGTGGTAGCGTGCGCCTATAGTTCCAGCTACTTGGAAGGCTGAGGTGGAAGGATCGCCTGAAACCAGCAGGTCGAGGCTCAGGGGCCGTGAGTATGCCACTGTACTCCAGCCTGGGCAACAGAGTGAGACTGACTCAAAAAATAAAATATAGATACACAGATACCATTACCTGCGGTATTCAGTAAAATAACATGCTGTACAGGATAGTAGACTAGGAACAATAGGTTATACCATGTAGCTTAGGTGTGTGGTAGGCTCTAACATCTAGATTTGTGTAAATACACTCTATGGTGTTTGTGCAACAATGAAATTGCCTAGCGATGTATCTCTCAGAACGTATCCCTGTTATTAAGGGACACATGACTGTGTATAATAATATATGTGTGTGTCTATTTAGAGTATGCGATCAATGCTGAGAGACTGAAGGGTCACTCCTATATTTAGGATGGGTGAGGTAGAAGAATATTAGAAAATAATTACTTCCTCAATGAACCCTTGTAGGTTATGTGGTAAAGTTAATTAGCCCTGGCTTTCTTTTCTGTTTCTGTACCTGTTTATTTGGCTGTTCTTTCCCCTTTGCATGTGCTTCTCTCCTAATGAGCAAATAGCAAAGATGCTAGGGATCTAGAGGTAAGTTATTTTAGGACTGGCCATTTACCTTCATGAAGTCAGAGCCAATGTGTTGGTTTCCTATTGTCCACTAGGTGGTACCAGGAAGAGCCACTTTATTTGCAAGTTGTCCTGACCCTAGACTCCAGCTTATTTTCAGAGTAGCAGACAGGTTTACATTGCTAGATACTTTTTTCTCTCCAGGTTTCCAAGTATTTCAGGAGAGGATATCTAGATCTTCCTTCCCTCCCCAGGTATAACCTAGATGAACAAATTGAGGAAGACAGAGAATCTGGGATCAAGAGGGAACTTTTTTTTTTGGTCAGTGTTGCCATTTCTTTCTTTTTTTCCAGATTGGAAAATATAGTTTGTTTATTTTTTTGGACTTTTTTGAGTTGAATCTCACTCCGTCGCCCAGACTGGAGTGCAGTGGCACACTCACAGTCACCGCAGCCTCAACCTGCTGGGTTCAAGCAGTCCTTCTGCCTCAGCCTTCCAAGTAGTAGGAACTACAGGCATGTGTCACCACTCCCAGCTAATTTTTTTTTTTAATTGTAGAGATGAGATCTCGCCAAGTTGCTGGGGTGGTCTCGAACCCATGAGTTCAGCCAATTCTCTCACCTCAGCCTCCCCAAGTGCTGGGATTACAGGCGTGAGCCACTGCGCCTGACCAAGTTTATTTAGAAAGTAAATTAGAGAGAGAATGAGAGAGAAGAAATTCACCTCCTCAAGGTAGGGGAAGGGGCAAAAGCTTAGGAAAACATGGCGGCCATAACTCAAAGAACTACATGGCCTGGTCAGTGCTTTCCAAAACAATGGCCAGTGTTACCATTTCTTAAAACTCAGGAATGCATTCCATTCTCTACTGGAGATTAAAGAATATCCTTTTTTTTTTTTTAATAGGCTGGATTGCAGTGACACGCTCATGGCCACCACAGCCTCGACCATCTGGGCTCAGACGATCCTTCTGCCTCAGCCTTCCAAGTAGCTGGAACTATAGGCGTGTGCCACCACGCCTGGCTAATTTTTTGATTTATTGTGGAGACAGGTCTCACCAAGTTGCCTGGGCTGATCTCGAACCCGTGGGCTCAGACAGTCCTCTTACCTCAACCTCCCAAAGTGCTGGGATTATAGGTGTGAGCCACCAAACCCAGGCCAGCCAACATTTTTCAAGAGTCTTCTGAAGGCCAGAGAAATAGAAAGTGGGTAGGAAGGTGGTGATCGGGGGAAGACTTTCCAGAAGAGATGGTAGGTAGGCCAAGCCGAGTCAGGAAGAATGGATAGGAAACCTCTGACATCCTAAAAGTCCGCAAATTTCTACTGTACTCAAATCTCCTTTGATGACTTCCTTTGCTCCTGTGACTTCAATAATTACCTCTGTGCTAGTAATGCCCAGTCTCTCTAACCCACTCATTTCTTTAACATACCTTCCCATCAGATGTCTCCTATTTAGATTTTTTTTTTTTTGAGTTGGAGTCTCACTCCATCGCCCAGGCTGGAGTGCAGTAGCACGCTCATGGCCACCCCAGCATCAACCTACAGGGCTCCTGCTATTCTTTCGCCTCAGTCTTCGAAGTAGCAGGAACTACAGGCGCGTGCTACCATACCCAGCTAATTTTTGATTTATTGTAGAGACAAGATCTTGCCAAGTTGCCCGGGCTGGTCTCAAACCCACTGGCTCAGGCAATCCACTAGCCTGGGTCTCCCAAAGTGCCAGAATGACAGGCTGAGCCACTGAACCCAGTCCATCATTTCTTTTCTGCCATTTGGCATATTAAACTTTTCTTTTTTTTAAAGATGTAGGGTATACAATTCAGGTTAGATATACAAATGTTCGTTATGCAGGTAACTGACATAGTAAACTTTTCTTGTTCAAAATGCTATGTGCTGCTGGGCACAATGGCTCATGCCTGGCGGGAGGATTTCTTGAGCCCAAGAGACCAACCTGTG